CTCGCGGACGCTGTCCTGGCGCTTCTAGCTGCGTCGCGAAACTTCCCCGCGGTGCCCCCGCTTCCCCCGACCACCCCGACGGGGCAGGGCCAGGCCTGCGGGACCGGGGGCGGGGCGAGGGTCCGGGCCTGCCGGCGGACTGCCCTGCCGCTGTCCGGCTGAGCCGGGACCTGTGACCCCTGCCCAGCAGAGTTGGAGGCGAGCATCAGCCCCGCGGTTTCTCCCGGGTGGAAACCTGCCGCTTTCAAGTCAGGGCTGGGGGCACCTCCACGCCTGTCTTTTGGGGGTCTTTTCTTTGAGGGGGGCTGGATGCACAGGGTGCGAACACCTTGCTGTGATCAGTGTTGCGGGTTCTCAGCCTCCCCACCCCACTTGAGGGCAGGATCCCTCGCAGAGCCCAGTTGGGAGGTGAGGGGCCTGGGGTTGGGACAGGGGTGAGTGGGGGGAGCACCCCGCCGGCCTCTGCTGCTGCTCCCCCTGCCAGCAAGGTAATAGCATCTCCAGCTCCGCCAGCCTCTGCTGGTGCTTGTGGTCCTTCCGAGCCTCCTCACCCTCCTCAGGAGCCCGCAAACTCGGCCAGCTGTGTCTGGGCAGCGAGTGGGTATGCGGTGTGTGTGCCCCTTAGTATGGAAGTATTATCAGGAACACACTGCTCCTGATACCGAATGTCAGTGCGGAGACACCCCTTTGGGACGTAGTGACCACCCTGCCTCTGCTTCCTGTCCCCGGCTCTGAGGAGCCACCTGTCCCTGCGCTCTGTCACCAGTGTCTTGGCCTAGGGTCTGGGGCATGAGGACTGGGGCTGCCGTGGCCAAGGGGAAGAGGCTGGCCTCAGCCGGCTGCATCGTTAGAGCAGTCCTACCCAAGGGTGAGGGCCCCTGGTTCCACCGCAGAACCTGCCGGCTCCGGCTTGTACGCTCTTCCCGATGAGGAAAAACAAAACTCGGGGAAGGCACCGCTCTGAGTCTGTCTCCCTGCGTCTTTCTCTCCTTGCACAGCCGGCTTTGCTCAGGCGGGTGATCACTTGTCAAATTACAGGTGCCACACGGACGTGTCCTCTGTCAGCCGTGTGGATTGTGTGTGCGGCGGGGGTGGGGGGTGGACGGGGAGAGGAGAATGGTATGGAAGTTTAGGGTCAGTGGGCACGTTATTGTCTTTCATTTGCCGTGATGGAAATGGACTTAAGCCACAGTGTTTAAACAAGAGCAGAAGCGCTATTTTTTTGTTGTTCCTTTTTTCAAAGTCAAGCCCAAGCTAAGCCGTAGTTATTTTTTTCCTAGCTGTTTCCTGGCTCCTTGAGTGAAGGTTTAAGTAGACGTCCCTTTCTGACCTCACTCTCCTTCATTGCAACCCGCAGTTGTTCACATGGCTTCTGGGCCTGCACCAGTCTCCCCTAGAAGGCCAGTGTCAGACCCTGACCAGCATGGACACCTGTCCCTCTGTCTTCAGCCTGGAGATGGTGAGGCGGGTGTGACGGCCGTGGCACATTTACAGCTGGACGCTCTTCTCTTGATATAGCTGGAGCTAATTTGAGGGTTTGGGACATGCGTTGCAAGCCATAATTAGGGAGTGGGAGTAGGGGGTGGGGCAGGGCAACTGGGGGGGTAGGGGGTGGGGCAGGGGCAGCTCTGAGGGTCCAGGGAAGGTGACTAATGCTGTGATATCTCGCAGGGTTTGCTGTGACAGCCAGCGCCCTCCAGCTGCCCTGAACCCACAGATGCAGATGTTTATTGATCCTTAGAGAAAGGAAGGGGGGGAGTCTTGAGGGTCCCCCCTCCAGGACCACAGCTGGTTGAACGGACATAAAAGGCTGAGGCTGACATTGGGGCCAGAGGGCTCTGTGGAACTCCGGTGTCCTCCTGAACCTTCTCCCAGTGCAGCATGGCCAGGATGACTCTGCTAACAGGTGGATTTCCGAGGTGGAGAGCAGGTCCCTCACTCCCACGGCTTGGAGGTGATCACCCCTCCCTGAGGAGGGGCCCTATGCCCAAGTAACTTCCTCATTAGTATCTGTCGTCATGCACGGGCCTGCCATGCAAGCAGCTGTGTTTTAAGCAAGTGCGCGTTCGGGGTCTGGTGGCTGTTATTTCTGAATCGCGGTGGCAGCATGGCTCTCTGCCCGCCAGGTGAAATGGACCGGTGCAGCAGCCAGACTGAGAAGGGCAGAGGAGTTCCTGCTGGAGCGGGGATAGGACTTCCATTCTAGGGAGAGGGCCTCCCTCTTCCCACCCAGGTCAGGGGTACAGAGCAGCAGCGGCGGTGTGCGTATGGCGGGTGTGCCTGTGTGTGTGCTCGTGTTGGGGAGGACAGTCGGTGCGTACTCCCTTCTACCTGCTCCCGCCTGCTTGCAGCTCTGCCCACCGCGCGCTCGTGCCTGGCGCTGCTGTGAGGCAGCCCTCGCTGCTCTCCACCCTGCGCTTCCTCTCCCCTGCCCCCTGCTCTTCGCGTTTTCATCGCTTTTGTCCCAGCACCTTGCCTGTTCCTCTCACCAGCCTGTGTCCATCCTGCGCTGCCTGCCCCTTTGTCCTCTCCCTTGGCTGTCCCTGCTCTCTGGTGTCCCTGGGCTTCTCTGACCCCTGCTCTGTGGAGTGCTGGCTGAGTGCAGGGTGCAGCGTGGGCTGAGCTGCCTGCCCATCTGGCCATTCCAGTAGTGGAGGAGGCCAGTGCCTCCCTTCCTCTGGGGGTGATGGGGAGCTGTGAGGGGCAGATTCGTGATGGCCAGGATACATTGGTGCTCCTTCCCGAGCAGACACGCGGGGAGCAGTGCCGCGACGGGGCATGCGTCAGTCTAGCTTTGGTTAATGGTGGGTGACGTGCGTCTGTCTGGGCCTTGGAGCCCCCGTCTCCACCTCCCCATTGCTCTGCCCGTTGGAGGGAGGCAGCATTCCACGCCTGGGTCCCCCATCTTCCCAACAACCTGCCGCAGCTTTTGCAGGAGGGAGGGGGAGGCTTCGCGGCCCGCCGCCGCCACAGGAATGCAGCACTGCCAGGTGCTCACAGCCTTCCTGGTACAGAGGGTCTTTGAAGAGACCCTTCGCCGCCGCCCCTCAGCCCCACTCTTAGGGGGTTCCTCCTGCTGGCCGGCTCTGTCAGGCTCAGCCCCGAGAGGGAGGAGGCCCACGTTAAGATGAGGCCCCTCGGCGTTGCGAGTGCCTCCCTCCAGATTGCTTGTCACATGCATGTCTCCGGTGATGCTGGCCCCACAGTGGAGTGAGTTCTTCTGCACCCAGTGCTGCCCCCTGCTCTGCCTGGGCGCAGGTAGGCACCTCCTGCTCCTGGCTCCTCAGACATGTATGGACAGACACCGCCAGCCCCTGGGAGGCGGCAGTGTGGGGACGTAAGTGTCAGGTGTAAACCTCGTGTGCTCAGACTTTGACCTCCGGAGCTGACCCACTCCATTGCGATGACCTTGGCTTAATTTCTCCAACTGAGGTGCTAAAGTCATCTCAAGAGGCTGGTGGGAAGAAATAATGGGGAGGGGTGGCCTCTGGGGTGCAGAGAGGCTCCCTGAGCACAGCACAGCCACAGCCGCTGTTCACAGCAGCGTCAAGCCCAGATGCCACGCCACAGGCCCTTGTCGCCAGTCTCCTCTTGACCCTCCGCAAGCCAAGTGCATTCTTATCTCCCTGCTCTGTGCCACCACTCATCACTGGTGCCTGCTTTTCTTTACGCACATCTTTTGGAGGCCTCTCTGCTCCCAGCTCTGGGTATACCACCTGCTCTGGCTATTCCCAGCCACACGAGATGCCATGTTACTATCTTGACCTCAGATCCCCTGAATGTACCCATCCTACAGATGGGCAGACTGAGACTCAGGAAGATGAAAGGACCTGTCCCAAGCCCACAACTGCTGGAGGAAGGACTGGGAGAGGATTGTTCTGTTAGACGTGTAGCTGCCCTGCTAGGAGGCCAGAGACATCTGGGCCCAGGAAGGAATGTGTGTGTGGGGCAGGGTAGAAACCTGAGTCGGAGTGGAGGAAAATGAAGAGGCCTAGGCCATGGGAGGTGGCAGTGGGGCCCAAGTGAGCTCCCCACTGTAACCTTTCCTGCCCCGTCCCTCATCCCTCCTCGGGTCTGAGGCAGTCACAGAGGCCGCCCTTCTCTGCCCCACCAGCCGAGGGTTGTCTGTCTGCCAGTAGTCATGGGCCAGGCTGCTAGGCAAGGCACTGAGCTGCGGGGAGAGGCGGTCTCCATCTCCAGATTCCAGTATGATGCTGGAGGAAAGGTCACGGGGTCGGGTTCTGAGTCTCTTCTTGGAAACGTGGAGCTGGACTCTCTCTGCAGTGTTGCCTGGCCCAGGGACATCAGCAAACTCAGACCTTCTAGGTGCCTGGCGTTGGTGGGCCTGGACAGGATTGGTGGGGTTGGGTGGAGGTGGGGGATGAGCCAGGGCTCTTGAGGGCTTGTTGCCATCTCGGGGGCAGCTGGAGTTCAGCAGCCTACAGGGTAGCGTCCCATGGGACACTTTCTGTTTCCCTTCCAGCTGCCCCCACGGTCACTGTGGGGAGGGGCTCTGCTCACCGCTGGCTTGAGCCCCACAGCCTACTGGGGAGATGGTCTTCATGTCAGGTTTATTTTTTCCTGGTGCCTATCTAAACAAGAAGCTACAGAATCAATATTCGTATTCCCAGAGGGAAGGGTATGTGTGGTTTTTGCTTTTTTTCCTTTCCCTTTCTTTCTTGTCCTGTGTAACCTGAAGAGCCATCTGTGCTGCTACGTCAAGGGAGAGATGGGGTGTCACTGCAAGTGACCACAGAGACTGAGATGCCCCCAGGAGCAGCGTCAAGCCCAGATGCCACGCCACAGGCCCTTGGGGGGCCTGTGGAGCTTGGGGATCCCCACAGCTGTCTCTTGGGGCTCCCTAAAGGAGTGGAGTGTTCTGTCCTTCAGGTTCACACAAGCTGAGCCTCACGTCGTGTGGGTGAACCCTGCCCTGCCTCTGTGGGATGCAGGCTACTGGCTCGCTGTCCCCATGCCCCGCCTGGCTCACTTCATCTGGGCCCTGCAAGACTTTCCTTCTGCACCTGGCCTGGTCTGCTCTCCCTGCCCCCAGTCACTGACTAGGTGCCGGTGCCGGTGCTGGTGCCTGAGCCTGACGACGGTGGGACCTCACAGACTAGGAGACCGAGACCATGCCTAGCTGGGATTAAGTGGGGGACGCTGCCCGTGGAGGCCCTGAGGGTTCGCACCTTGCATCGAGGGCCCTCTGTCAAGGGCAAGTGCAACCCAGTCTTCTCAGCTGGAGAGTTGGCTTGGTGACCTTGGCAGAACGCATCCTCCCCTGGGCCCGGTTTCCTGTTTCTAGGGTCCTCTGACTGACATTCCAGGGCCCTGAGAGGGAAGGTCTTCTGCACTCCGCCCCAGTGGGGTGAAGCCTGACCTTATCTGTGCAGGTGTGCGGGCGTCTAGCCTCCCATAAGGGCCGGTGGCTATACTTTAGGTTCCTTGGAGCTGCTTTTCAGGCTGACCCACTTTGAGCTCAGATTAGCCTAATTGTTAAGCAGAGAGGGAGGGGAACAGGAAGTCTTTCTCACTGGTCATTAACCATCTCTCCCCACCTTGGAAGTGGTACTCGTCAAACAAAGGGCAAGCGATAGGATGAGAAGGGTGAGAGTCACCCCGCTCTGTCTGTCCCTTGCACACCCTCTTAGAGTCAGGGCCCCCTGCTTGCATCTTGACGGCTTTCTTCCCAACTGGCCATTTCTTTCTGAGTGAGCCCCTCTTGGCGGGCACTGAGACTCTGCCACACTCCCCTGAGCTGCATGGCTGCATGACCTTGGGAACGGGCCCAGCCTCTCTGGGCTTTGGAGCCTTATCTGTAAGACGAGGTTCTCATGCTTGGGAAGCTCGTGGGGTTGGGATGTGACAGGTCATGAGGGAGCAGCCTGGCCCCGAGGAGTGAGTGCAGAGGGCCCATAAGCCCTGACGGGGTCTTAGAAGGCTCTCAGTCCAGTAGTGCCTGCGTTCTGTGTGCCAGCCACCTGCCTGTAGCACCCAGGCCCTGCAGATACCTGGGCTCACTTACAGTTTCTAGCACTTTCCTCTAGTGCTTGGCTCTTGCCTTGTACGTGTGTGTGTTTGCACATGGGTGTGTGGGTGTGTGCACATGCTTGTGTGCATGCCCACTTGTACACAGGAGGAATAGGTGTGCATGTGTGTGCTAGCACACTGCACACGTGTAGGATATGTGTACACGTGTGCTTGTGTATACACAGGTGCACATGTGTGCGTGTGAATTTGAGTGTGTGCATGTGCTTGTTTATTGTGTGTGTGTGTGGTGCTGGCACATGACAGTTTATCTCTGCAGCCAGAGCACTCTCACAGTGCCCACCTTCCGTACCTACCTTTGATGTTAATGCCAGGGCTTGCTGGGCCAACGCTAGCAGTGGTAAATAAAGCCTCCTGGTCGTTAAGACGTGTGTTTTGCAAACTTTTATGTCAGGAACTGCCTGAGTTAAGGCTGAGCTACGAAGTTCGATCATCTACCAACTGGCACAGTGACAGTCTGGGAAGGAAACACACAGAGGCTGTGTCCTTAAAATTCAAATGTTTGCAAATTGAATGGTATTTAGATTTGCAGGAGGACTTGGGACTCAGAAGCTCTGTGAGTCCTCTGTGAAGAGAAGCATCTTTACAAACAGCCCTCTGGGTGGAAGGTCTGCAGCATGGGCCTGCAGGTCCGGGTCAGACAGAGTAGGAGAGCCTTGCTGTGTGACCGATGGGTGCCCCTCTCCAAGTGGGCACTGAAGGGCAGGAGCATCTGCAGTGGGCTTGGGGTCCCTCCCCCTGCAAGACATCCGTGTGCTCAGCAGGTATGGTCTGGAATGTCCAGGATTTCTGCTTAGTGATCCCTGCTTGTTCTTCTGTTAGACCATCTCCAGGTAAGGCTACTTTTTTGTCTCAAGTTCTCAGGAGCACAGGTGTCTGGGTGCCCTGTGCCGGGCTGACCCCTGGAGCTGTGCAGGTCCTGGTTGGTGGGCCCTGATATCAGAGGACTGTAAGTTGTGCTTTGCTGACCTTCTAAGGCCTGTCTGTCGCCAGTGTGGGACCGGCCCGAGGCCCTGGGCGTTTGGAGTAGGGGCTTCTGTAAAGGGAGGGTACAAGTGGCTGTGAGGAGCTCAGGGGTCCAGAGGCTAGGAGTGGTTCTTTCAGGGGGAGGGAGCCTGCGCCCATCTCCTTGGGCGCTGTGGGCCTTGGATAGGAAAAGACGTATCGGCCACAGAAGCTCTGGGGGCCCACATGTCCTCATCACATAGACAGGGAAACTGAGGCCCAGGGTGAAGGCCCCACACTTGTACTGGCTGCCCACACTCTGCAGGCAGAGCCCAGTCCCCAGCCCTGGAGCTCAGTACGTGCTGCCTGGAGGGTGACCCCCTGTGCGGCCTTGCTCGCATGTGCCGCACAATTATTTCCCTTCAATAAAAACATCCAAGCACAAGGGGAGGGGCAGGTTGCGGTCTGCCTGGCAAACCTGCAGAGCAGCGGGCTCAGCGATGTGCATCCCCAGCCCCCCGGGCTTTTGTGGAGCCACACCTGCTGCCAGTGTCTTTGTCCCTGTGCTTTTCCAGTCACCAACACTTCCCTCGGGAAGGACAGCTTTGTCCCCAGGCAGGGTGGGCACAGATTGGCAACGACTTCCTGAGACAGGGAGAGACCCGGCTCTGCCTCCAGTTTCGAGCTTGATGTGGCATTTGAGTCTTGGTAACTTCCTCCCGCAGCCCATGTTCTCTGTCTGGCGCCACCTGAAATGCTGCATTGGGAGCCTTAAAGGTCAGGCATGTGCCACCACCGTTTCCAACAAACAAACAGCACAACCATCCGCCCTCGCCCAGCCCCCAGCTTCATTGGTTAGAAATGAGCCTGCGCCAGCGAGAGCTGCCCTGTGCACCCAGGACCTTTGCTGAGACGCTTCTCCTCTCTGTGAGCTGAGCCCTGTGAGTCTTTCCCTCTGTCCGGCCCCACCCCTTCTGCAGTGTCTCTTAGTGAGGGTTATCTGTGACCACCCTACCTTTGGCCTTTAATCACCAGGCGTCCCTCTACCAGACTGAGCTGCTCAGCCTGAGTATGGGACAGAAAGGCGCCCTGAACATGCCCTCCCCTGGCCCCCCACCCAGCAGCCTCTCCTGCAGCCCTGTGCCCCTTCTCCAGCGCTGCACCCCTCCTCCAGCTCTGAGCCATTTCACAGGAGCCCTTGAGGAGTAGGCACTGAGCTGACTGTCACCCCCTCAAAAATTGAATACGCAGAATATATTTGGCTGTACAGAAGACAGGTTCTTCTGTGCACACCTTGGCAACCCAACGTGAAGCTTTTCCCCCACATTTAGACCCTTCTCTGGCTCACAGGGAGTCAGAGATGGGTGAGTGTTGGGCTGTGAGTGAGAACCAAGTCCTCCTGTGCTCTGCTCGGCTGGCCTCACTTTTGGTGTGGTTCTTGACCTTGCTGACTTCCCTTATGACAACAAGATGGCTGCCACAGCTCCAGGCATCATGTCAGACCCAGACATCCGGCGAGGGGGAGGTGTTTCCTCTGGGTTTCTCTTACCAGAAGAAGAAACCTTGCCCAGAAGCCCCCAGCCTAATTTTCCTCACACTTCATTGGCTAGCACTGGGTCACATGTCCATTCTAAACCAATCACCGGCAACGGAGAAGGTACACTATGATTGGCCGAGGCTAACCAGGATTTACCCTTGAGCTGAGGATGGGGTCACCTTGGTGCTGGAGGTAGAGATTCTGCAGACTTGGGTTTTGTTAGCAAGAAGGCGGGAGTGATAGCGAATGTGGAAATGGAGATGGTGTCTGCTGTGGGTCAGACAGGAGGCATGAAGTTGAGGGTGGAGGCTGAGGAGAACGCAGGAAAGGAGCCGCCGAGGAGGGGAGGGTGGCCATTGTGAGGGAACAAGGAGGTACTGTTGTTTGCCCAAAACAGCGTCACTTCAGCCGGGGCCCTGGGTGGTGTATTCCACGCATACTAGCCAATGAAGTCAGGCCATTTGTGTGCCCATTTCACAGACAAGTAAAAATGAGACTCAGCAGCACAAAGCGATGCTGACATCTCACAGATGGCCGGTGGTAGAGGCAGGATCCCCAGCTGGGACTGGAGCATCTGGTACTGTCCCACATAGCCTTTCTTCTGCAGCCCAGCTCCCCTGGTCAGCCCTGGCCATAGGTCCCTCAGCTGTCCCCACACTCTTCTGTTGTTCCCTCATGTGTGTCCTGCTGCAAGGGCTGCTGCCTCCGATGAAGTCCTTGCGGGGGTTGTCTGGGGTACCTCTGGCTTTCTCTCTCAGCCTGTGGCTCCCCTGGGTCCCTGAGAAGCACCTGAGTTACTAGGAAGAAGAGGCTGTTGGCGCCAGTCCCTTCCCAGTACACCCTGCCTTCACCTGTGGGATGGTGTGGGTCATGGGAACTGTTGGTCCTGTTGACCTGTTTAACTCCGTGTGGTACAGATGGAGAAACGGAGGCCCACGGAGGGACACTGCTGTGAACTTCTCACAACGAGGCACAGCCTAGACCCAAACCCGGGGGACGGAGGGAGCAACCACTGCCCTCACGTTGCCATGCTATGCCAGTTGAGTTGATTACCCACCCCCTCCTCAGCCAGGCCGCAGGGCCGACTGTCCTGGGCAGCGGGAAGCGCTGCTTGGGCTGTCCGAAGACAAGGTAGGCCGAGTGAGCTAAGAGGACACTGACAGCAGGCCATGTCCTGCTGCTGTGGAGCAGGGCAGCTGACCTGGCGTCCTGGTCCGCAGCCGAGGACATAAGCCATGAGTGGGGCTGGAGGAGGGCCCACACTTTTCTGGGAGCTGCCCTGAGGCTTCCCTCTCTCTGGGCGAAGTGCAGCTGCAGGGTGTATAGTGGGACCGTATTTGTGCGTGCATATTGCGGAGAAGACTGGGGTGTCATTGGTCAGCTCTCCTGATGGCTGTGAGAAGGTCCATGCTCTGATGTGGCCATGTTACTGTGACCTGATGCCTAATCCTTCCTATTACTCTCTAGGCTCCATTCCCTGCACCAGTCCTGGGTCTGAGCTGGGCACAGTGTCCAGGAGTTGGTCAGCTAAGGGCATATATCTTGGAGTAGGTCCTGAGCTGACCTGCTCCTGGGTTCAGATGCTGCTCTGGGCACTCTTCCCCACTGGTCACGTGAGGGAAGACAGCGCTGTGAGCCAGTCCAGGGGCCGAGGAAGGAGCTTGTCCACTGGGCACACTCCTGCGTCCTCCAAGACCAGGACGTGCCTTTAGTTCGGGCCTACTTCCAAGGCCTTCTGCAAGTCGCCCCTGGGAGCTGGTGGCCCTGTCTCCCAGGGGAACACGGAGTGGAGAGGAAGGGCGGTCTGGACTCACCCCCACCCCCACCTCTCCACTTTCACCCTTCTTTCCCTCCTCACCACTCACTCCATTGCCCGCATCCCCTGGCCTTGCCTGCCTGCTGGGCAGGGAGTATTAGAGGGAGGGAGGCGTATGTTGGCCAGTGTGGGCCCTAGACACCCCAGGGGCTTGCAGAGCAGGGCCATGGGCCTCCCCTTGTCCCAGTCCGTTCCCGCCTCACCCTAGCCTCGGCCCTGCCCAGCCCCTGTGGGAGTCCAGGCAAGCCTCCTACACGTTCCTCTGAGCCTTGATGTCCTCGTCATTCCCAGCACTTTCCAGAGTGATGTCCTGCAGTTACTGGTGACGCTGCCACCCATCTGTGCAGCTGTCATCTCTGTTCTGCCTGGAAGCTGTTGTGTACGGCGCCCACACCTAGGGAGGTGGCTTCTGATAATTATAGGGAGCGGCTGGGGAGTGGGCACAGGAGCAGGTCTCTTCGCTCAGGACTGGATACCCACTGGTGAGCACCATCTCTGTACACGGGGACTTAAAAGGCACCTGTTATGCGCATGGAGGAGGCCTGGCAGAAGTTGGCTGGGCTGCAGGGGGTCCCGGCCACCTGCAGGCAGGACCCCTCTGTGGTCTGGCTGATCTCTGCTTGTCATTGGTGCTTGGCTGGGAGTCACTGTCCCCGGAAACCTCCTAACTCCCTGTGTAGGTCGGGGGCTCCTAGGCTATTTCAAGGCTCTGTATCCCGTCCCTGTCCTGCAGAAGCCCTTGCTGCCTGGCCAGCTGTCCACAGTGATGCCTCCTGCAAGCTATGCCTGCAACAGGACTGTCCTTGGCTAGAACTCCTGGCTGGGACCTGCCAGTGCTCAGTAAACATGGGCTGAGCAGGTAGCCCACGATCTGCCCAGGTGTGCGCAGACCAAGCTGGTCACAACTGTGCAAGCTGCGGCAGGCTTTTACGTGATGTGACACGGGGCCCTGAATGGCGTTGGCGTGGCTGCTGTTAGAATGCAGAGATCAGCACCACACACCCTCTGTGGCTCCCTTGCCGGGGGTTGTCTCCAGAGCTGCCTTGGGGAGGGAGGCAGCTGGGACCCAGGTACCCGAGGGTGTATTATTTAATCAGGTGGAGGCAGGGCCCAGACATCAGCATTTTTCTGGAGCCTTCCGGGTGAGCCAAGGTACAGAACTATGGCCTCGGGGTAGATGGGAAGGTAAATATAGGAGCCCCACTCTCTCCCCACAAGGGAGCACGACACTCAGAGGAGCAGGGTGGGAGCCTGAAGCACTGGCTCTGAGGAAGACTGACCATGGGACCTGGCTGTGCTGGCTCCAGATGTCTGGCATGTGGCCAGTGGCCAGCCCCCTTCCAGGGAGATCTTCTGGCTTGCTGAGAAGGCTGCCCCCTTCTTCCAGACAATTCCTCTGCGTTGGTTGATGCTTGCCCATGCCCTGCTTCCCCTGCCGACCATTCCATGGCCTTTAGGGCAGACACTGCCCCTTCCTTACCCCAGTCCTCACACCTGCCTATGTGTTGGGCACCGAGAGGGCTTTAGGGAGCTCCAAGTCTATAGGGGAGATGGACAGCGATGCAGATATGGAAGTGAGGGTGAGTAAGGAGCCCTGCGCAGCCAGTGCCCCTGAGACCTCCTGCGCCAGGCCCCCATTGCCCTGGCTGGTCCCGTGGCCTTCAGCCTTTCCCTGTCAAGTCTGGGGAGGCCCTGGGGAGAGCATCTGAACCCACCTTCCCCTGATGATGAGCCACTGTTTGGGGAGCAGGCAAAGGGCCGGGGTGGGATCTGGGAGAGGCACGCAGCACCTCGAAGCCGTGCCTCCTAGCGTGCAGTATGCCTTGGGCATCGTGTGCCCCGTAGCCTGGCGTTCCTTGGCATGGAGCAGCTGGGGCCGGGGTGGAGGGGGGCAATCCCAGAGGCCATTAAGCCAAGTGATTTACACAGTTCCTAAGGCTTTGCTGGGGGCGATATATTTCACAGGTGATTTCCAGACTGCGGGGTATGGAGGAGGCCGTCACTCTAAAGTGAAGAAGGGTGGGGGCTTCCCGCGGCCGTCTGGAGGGGCCCGGCACTGTGGGCTTTGCTGTCCTCAGTGTGTATCTCCACACTATGCCGGTGAGCTTGCACCAGGGAGGGCCCGGGAAGGGGAGGAGCTGGAGATCACAAAGACAGCCCCGAATGTTACCTTGCGTGAGTCATTTTGTGCCTCGGTCACCTCATCTTTAAAGTGGGGTCTTATTTCCCATGTTTCATAGTGATGAAGATGGCGTTCGTCACCCAGCTAGCCTTTTCTGAGCACCTGCCATGTGCATGCCAGGCCCTGGTCTCCACAGATGTTCTAGTGACAGTTAATATGCAGGGTGGCTCCTCTCTGCCTGCCCATGGCCCTGGGGATGCAGATGAAGATGAGGCCTCTGGTGTGGCTCTTAGCCTATTCTCACTGTAGCAGTGGATCTCTTGCAGCCCACAGGGGATTTGTACTGCTGACAGACTGACTGCAGAGCATCAGAAAGTAACAGAAAATGCCAGGAAAATGGCAAGTCCCTTGTGGGCACTTGGGCAGCGTGGCACAGGGGGCCTCCCATCTACCTGTAGGAAGAGCT